CGCTAATTTTTTGACATGTCGAAGATATGCAATTAATTAAATAGTTGGAAAAAAAAATCAAATAATTAATCACCAATGAAGAAAATCATTAGTTACAGCCCCAAATCTATCATTACACATATTACACCACAGCAGGAGGTGTGTATGCGTGTGAACATGCATCACATGCATTACTTCCTTTGGCAGGTAAACCCACAACAGCAGCTGCCCCCCTCAAAGAAAATTAATTCATCCCTAAACATCTCACGCGCATGCATTTGCAGCCTGGCAACAGTTAAGCGGCAAGCAGAAGACGCAAGAACTAGGAGGAAAGGAAATGAGGGAGATTAATTAATGGAGGAGTGAGTGAAATTAAGAGCACTCTGCCTCCTGCGGCTCTGACATTACCTCCAATACTCCACAATCCCCTGCCCTTCACTTAACACATTTGTCGAGATTTGGTGCACCGTATGAAAGTCTGTGCTCATGCTTCAGTTCAAATCCTCTGGCTGTTTGCAGTCAGGTGGCCAGCGGCCGCGTTTGCCCAGGCGCCAGGACGTAAACCTGCAGAGAACATGGCAGACCTGCTGAAAATGCTGTTTTACTCCTGCCTGTTGCCTCTGAAAAGGTGTTGCACAGCTGTTAAAACAAGTGAGCTTAGGGAGTGCTTGTCACAGTGGAGGTTAAAGCTTGTTTCCAAGGCTTGCAGTGCCTCTCACTGAGATTGTCTTGTTCCAAAGAGTTAAATTCATGCTGAGATAAAAGATAAATTGGAGGTTGACAGTAAATCGTAATCTTGAGAAAACTGCTGGTGGCTTCAAAGCACAAAATTATTCTAGTTTATGGCACTTTAGAGGGGATTTTTACTACCTTTTCACCCATAATTTGCAAGCCAAAAAGCCTTTAGATCGATGTTAAGTTTTTTAAACCCCGACTATTTGCATAGTTTGTATATAAATGATAGTCACTCCATTCCATCCCTCATTGGTTGATGAAATCCCATTATGAATTCTCAAGACCAGACATCTTGAATGTACTTTCAAATGTACATTAACTAAAAAATAAGAAAGTTACATGAAAAATACCCCGTAAGGCACCACGCAGGCAGTAAAAAGAGACCCTTTACAAACTGCCGCCACCAGGTGGCGATACCTGTAGATTGAGTAAAAAATTATGCCTATTTTGAACATCTTTTTCATGTCACATTTCAAAATGGCACGAAACCACATTGGCTATCATCTCGTCAATCCCACGTCGGTAGCTAATGGGTGCCAGACCCGTCCCTCCTCATCACATCCATTTTTTGCAACCAAGATGGCGAAACAGAAACCCTCATATCAAGGATGTTACGAAGGAGAAAATTAACTATTGACGTGAAAACTGTCTTTTGAAACAGCCTGTGAACATGTTTATTTTAACACGAGAGTTTATTAGCGCTTTTGAAGCCAGCCTCGAGTGGACACTCGAGGAAGTGGACACTTTCAGGCACTTCTGCGTTGCCCTCATTTTCTAGCCCCGGGCGTTGTTGCCTGGTTACGAGACTATTACTCCCCATCCATTATTGTGACTTAAATATGAAGCTTTAAATTGTCAGATGTATGAACACATCTAAACACACACAATTCTATATTCTACAGACTTGTTATAGATGCACAGAGCACAGGGATGCTGTCGAGTATCACCACGGAGAAAAGAGGTGGTGAGAAAGGTGTCATGAACGCATCACCTATCAGAAACGGGTGTTGTGGTGTTGTGCAGCTGACAAACCCAGTGGTTCCGGCTGAGACTGGTTTGATGTACTTGCTGTCAATTTAACACAGAGGGAGTGTTGCCTGTCACCTCCCTGCTTTCCCTGCCTGAATATATCATATCCTCTCCATCAAAATCAACAGTGTAAGAATCAATCTGTCACACAGGAGGACATGCGCGCTTCGGCTTATAGACAGACAGACCAACTGGAATTGAGGGTCGGAATAGAAAATGGAGGAAAAGAAATGACAGTTGAGGTGAAAGAATGACAGAGAAAGGAGGGGCAGTGATTACTGAAAGACAGCTGAGGAATGATAGCAGAGGTCGGGGAGGAATTTATGTGAAAAGGGAGAAAAAGAAAATGAGATGCGCAGTGAGCAAACAGTCACTCAGGGCTAGACATCGGCAGCAAAGAGGAGCTGTCAGAAGATGCTATCATACAGGGAGAGATCTGCGAAAATACAACAGTGCCAACGATACTTTACAATGTAGCAGAGGAAGAAGTCGACAAGAGGGAGATTAAGAGACTGAGTAAGAGACTGAAAGGTCAGAGGAACCCGGTGGATGATTCATGAAGTTCAGCCTATCTAACTTCTGCCTAAGGGTTTCACACAGCCTGTCAACCACTCCTCTCTCCTACTGCTTCATCTACAGCTTCTCTAACGTGCACACACACTGTGCGACAATAATTGTTAGATACAAGTACACACTGGTAGGATGAAGCAGGGAGAAGCCATAATCAGTATTTTTCTTCATATCTCTGAATCAGTGACAAGTAACAAGTGGCATTTAGTTTTTAGCCTGTTTTAGGTTATTGTTTTTACTTTAGTGCACATTTGCACCTTGACTCTGAGCAAGAATAAAAGCTCATCAGCAACTAAATACATCTGCTGAATCCTAATGTTGCCACCTATGATAGACTATTTGTTAACAACTTTTATTGATAGTTGTGAGATGTTTTCTTCTGCCCTCTAGTGGACATGTAAGAAAATCTTGAATAGAATAAGCTTGAATAGAGTTTGTGTGATTTTTGGGAAGAAAAATAAGCCAAAGTATTTGGAAATGACTTATTACTGGCCTCTTACATAACTTTCAACAGTCCAAAAACCAGATGTGTTCAGTTTACAACGACATTACAAACAATCCAGTCATTTGTTTCACTCGATCGATCAACCACCATTCGTGGAGTGTTTCTGACACACCCTCGCCAGTTTGGTGTTGATGTTTTTGACCACTGCTGCACAGTCTTTACCAGCTGCCTCTATTAATATTCAACAAGCTGTCACGTACAGATGCGACAGCCAAGCTGGTAAGCCTCACCTTTCCCACCGTCATGTCAGCTGTCTTGAACAGGGAGCCTGATAAGGAGGTAGGAAGCAACGGAGGCGTTTGATGGAAGGCTTCAGATGAGGAGGCGGAGGGAGAGGGGAGGAGGCGGCTGTCTGTATGTCAGGGGAGAAAACATCTCCTCCGCCCTTTGCACCGCAAGAGTGGGGTGCATACGGCCGTTTGCGCCTCCGACCCCAACTCATGGCGCAGATGCCGGCGGTGCCAAAAATAAAGTGCATTAAAACTGGCAGCCAAAGCCTGTTAAGTGATCACCATGACAACAGGCGGAAGGCGCACGGAGACGACATCTCCGCTACAATCCTGCCCCCCTGCCCTAAGAGGCTACACTGCTGGACTGCTCGCTTTCTGTCAGCTGGGCTTTCTCTGCGTCTCTCCTGTCGTTTATGCTCCTTCTCCTTTCATCCTCCTTCTCCCCTGATAAGTCTCCTGGGAGCTCTTTAAGCTAACAGGCAGTGTTTAGTCTGTTTTTATGCTTCCTTGTTTTACATTTTAATTTCACCCTTCTCTGAATCGCTCCTCTTTTTCTTCCCCCCTCCTCCCCTCCCACCTGTTGTTTTTCTCACTGTGCATTTCAACTTGTTTGTGCACACACACAACTATCTCGATCTTAAATCTCCTTATCTTACCTATATCGGTCCTAATGCTGTGTGCTGTAATCCCAAAGAGCACTGCCCTAATGAGACCTCCTCCACCTTTGCTCTCCGTTCCCTTTCTCCACCCTGCTCCTTATCGCATGGCGTCATTGTAATCTTTAGGATAACTTTGAGAGCTATGCATACACTAGTGCGTGCACAGAGTGAGGTCATGCATGAGCATCCCGATGCAGATCTTAGCAGCAAACCTAGATAAGAAACGTGATGTCGTGAAGTCACACGGAAACATCCACAAGGGATCTTGTTGTCGGGGTGAATATGGTGACCTGTGCAGTGTTGCGATGCTGTTACTTAGCAGGGAGCAGTTTTGTTTCTTCTAAAGTCTCTCCGTCCACAGGCCAGCATCTGAGGGAAGCATGAATATTGATGCTCCTCACTTGTTAACATTGTATGAAGCAGGGGCTGGTAATTGTCTGTCTTCGAAGCGCGACACGTCCTCTTCAGTGGGATGTGTGAGAAGGTCGATCCCGCTGGGGAGTTCGGCTTCTCTTGACTCATTTTACTTCAAGTGAGAAAAGTAGCGAGTAAGGAGAGGAGAAAGAGCCGAGCGGCGACAGAAACCCGAGTTACGACACGCACTTTGTCAAGTGTGCCGAAGTGCAGCTGCGAGTCGCTTCCGAGTTTGTTTCAGGCTTGTAGCGTTTTCTCCAATGCTCTTCATTTCAATGATGCATTGCTCTTATGAGGCATTTCTAAAGGTGTCCTCACAGTGTTTCTCTTTTATTCTTCTTTTTTTTCACCCCTGTTCAGCAGCAGCTGGTTCCACTCACACTGCCGTTTTTTAACTGGTAAAAGAGAACGACCAAAGTGTGCATGTCAGTATGCACACAGGGGAATTTGTTCCCCTTCATATGATTGTGTGAACCTCTGTCTGCTTGCATTCGCCTATCTGTGTCAGTGTATGTAAATGTTTCTGTGTGCGATTTGTGTGCGTTTGAGAGCCAGACCCAGAGGATTCCTGCAAGTGAGCCCGCGTCCTAATCCAGTGTTGAGTAGGCGCATTGATTTATCGAGCAACTTTTGTTAGTCCAGAGAAGCCCCGCTTCCTGCTACATCCTAATCAGCACACACAAGTGCACACATGCATACACACAGCAGGTGATTGTTATCCGAGTGTTGATTAACTGAGTGAAGACTGCAATTTAGTGATAGTTACATTTTAGATTTTATTTGGATTTCCTCTTTCCTGATTTTGAAAACTACTTTCTTAATGCTTTTTCTGTTTAAAATAATAATAAAATAATCCTTTTCTTGAATGTATCTCTCCAGGTATTCGGCCTCAAATCATGAACGGGCCCATGCATCCCCGCCCGTTGGTGGCCCTGCTGGACGGGCGTGATTGCACCGTCGAGATGCCCATCCTTAAAGACTTAGCAACCGTTGCCTTCTGTGATGCTCAGTCCACGCAGGAGATCCACGAGAAGGTAGGAAGACGCACGCACCGTAGTTCACATTCAATGTCTTCCACATCGCAGCTGAACCTTGATGGAGAGACGGAATTTACCCGTCACTCATATCTCCCTCTTCCTGTTTCTATAGCGCTGATATGTGAAGTGCGTTATATTGGCCTCATACACACCTGCCAGTTAAAATGCAGTGGCTTCATTATGATTTAATGTCACTTTGTAGCACTGACTGTAACGCCTATATCAGTGCCATTGTTCTAATAGAGAATCTCGTACAGCGGGGATGCGGTGTAATTACATTGGCTTGTAGAGGCTCTTTATTGCTTTTTATGCAGCGCCGTGGCTACAAAACAATATATGGCCACAGAAATGGGTATCACCCAAGTGCTATCTCTTCATCTGCAGACAGAGTGAGGGCTGCTATATCTTCCATCGCGCTGTTTTTATGAAAATGGGACATATTAAAAAAGAAGCATTTGCATAGAGATCAATTCAATCAAAGACCTTGGGCGGTGAGGAGAAGGGGGAGAAAGTGGGTAGCTTTTTGTTTGTTTTAACACTGCCTTATCAGGAAAAACATGATTGTAATGTTCACCTCGCAAGCATATTCAGCAGTTCGCGGTAATAACTTGCAGTCTAGATACCCAGAGGGGCGGTATAGATTGAAAATGTCCAATCTCTGCTTTCTGCAGCATGGATGCAAAGATGCAGTGTTGATAACTCTGGGAGTTTCAGTTCAATGTTGTCAGGGCGGACAGCAGCTGCCACACTCCCGTACATATACAGCAGACAACAATGAAAAAAAAAATCTTATGGAAAAGATTGGCCGAGGATTGAATATGAAAGTTGCCTAAGGTTATGTGAAGTCTTCTACCTGGTAATCCTCTTTTTTCTCAAGTGATAGGGATACGATAAAGCACACAGGCAAATACCAATCAAGATCAAGTTACAATACCACTTCAGTGAGACCAAATCCTGTATGCAGCACCTGCGCTCCAGCATCATAATCCAAGGTCTCTGATCCCTCGTCTTTGTCACGGTCGTCGCGCCTCATAACCACATGTGGCTTGTAAAAGTTGGATGAGAGCCCATATGGCAGGGAGTCAATATTGGCCTATTACTTTGTGCGCCGCCTGACTGTGATCATCCAAAAGAGGTGTTAAGCTTGGGGCTTGCAGCTAATGACTCTTAATGTAACTAAAAGATGATAGATGGAAAAATGATGATACTGTGTTCAGTTAACAGTTCAATCTCTAAAATGCAGGGGGGGGGGGAAAGCCATACATTGCGTGTTGTCGTCTCGCGTCATTAGTTAAACTGTGAATAGAAAGTCTTCACAATATCAGCAAATGTTTACTATTTTCCATTTATAAGAAACAATAAATTTTCAAAGCAGTAAATCCTTTAATAAACGCTAAATGGGGTTATATAGATATTTATAGCACTTTTCTGTTGTTAAAGTACTTCACCCATTCACATTCACATATTAAATGCTGTGCTTTATCTGTTACACACACACAAGGACAAATGGGGGCATTTAGGAGGTTCAGGCTCTTGCACAAAAACAGTTTAAGGTGTATACCGGAGGAACCAGGTGTCAGACTAGTTTAGTGGACATACTGGTTAACATCTGTTTATTCTTTGGCACTAAGACATAACTTTTTTTGCTTTCTTGCTGCTATTTCACTGTTTAGGTGGGGACTGGGGTAAATGTGCAAGAAGCCACGTTGCTTTACATAAGCACTGAGGTTGCAACCAGGAAAACTGGTAACCTCCCTCTGACTTAAGCGGCTGGACCTGGCATGTAGTCTTCTGTAAAATCAGCACATCTCGTGTGGACGGATTTGTTTTAGAAGTATTGAAAGATTTTGTGCAAAACAAAACTAGTGAATTGACCCTGTTAAGCTAACTAACCAGCTTCTCTTGCGTAACGCTAGGTTAAAAAGAACATATGTGCTTTCACCAGTTCTTGAAGTCCACATTCACTGAAATTTTGCTGTTTTTAATTCCTCTCCTTCATCACGTTAGTCTCAAGGATGTTTTTTTTTGTCTGAAACGTCAATCGATGCACTGCTAAAGTGGATTTTGAAGGTACAATGGCCAGCGGGGTCAGAGCTTGTTGTGTTATGACATATTTCACAGTATTTTGTGACGCTGTCCTGCAAAATGCTAAGCCACCTTTGTTGTAAGAAGTTTTAAGTAGTCTGTAGTTTTATGAAGCAACAGTTTGAGCAGCACAACCTCCCTGCGGATCACTCACGGGATGACTTCATAGCCATAAAGTCCCCCTCCTAGACGCTAGGAGTGTGCACTACAGTGTGCACATCACCAAATCAAAACTCCCTTGAAGCAGTCTATCTTTTGCTCAGCCAGGCTAAATGTGAAGCACGGGCTTTGTGCCTTGTCAGAAAAGTCCAGGCGTCATAAGAAATGATAGATCCTTAAAGCGATAAGAGTTTGGTTACAGTGGAGAGGAGGATGTAGCTGAGGTCAGAGTTTCCATTTACATCAACTACAATCAGGCTAGAAGATTCCTTCCCCCAGCTCAAAAACAACACAAGACCTTCAGGATCAGCGCAGAGGGAGGCAATTATGTATGTGTGCATTTTGGCCGGTCGCGCATGTGCGTGTAAGGAGTGTTTTAACCTTGAACTAATATCTGGAAGGCCTGTCCAGGACACTGCTCTAATAAAAGCAGTATGGAAATTCAGAGCTAATCTACTAATCACAGGAAAGCTAATGCAGCTTGGCTGGAGGTGAATGTAGAGCTGTTATTTAGGCGCTGACAGGGGCCGGGGCTGATACTGAAGGGGAATAGTTTAGATCCACATCACAGGCCAGGTCACCTTGTCCGCGTTAAGTGGCAGAGGAGCAGCGTGAGCAGCATTTCACAGTGATTGTCCACCCCCCCCCCGTCCAAGGTGATAGAATTCAGACTTTTTTGGGAAATGTTTCACTTGCTACATCTTAAGATTGTTCTTGTGGTTGTTTAAAAGCACAGTTAGGTTTGACCTTTACCTGCTTTAAAATAAGTAACAACCACTTTCACCTACACTTAGCTGACATGCATCTTTAAGCTGGAGTTTGCGCAGCCTAAAATTTTACTCAAAGCATGAGTACAGCAGGTAAGAACATTTGGAAGAAATAACCACAAGCTATTAGTCTTGATGCATTCTCAATCATCCAAGTAAGTAAATCTCCAAAAGTTGATTCTGTTCATCTTCTCCCACTGAAAACGCTACATCCAGATGAATAGAATCAACTTTTGGAGACACAAGCTACTCCTGGAATCGGGAAATTTTGAAGCCTGAAATACAGAGCGGTACAGTCTGGGTGGTAAATTAGTTACTTTCTTTGTAATGGGCCTATTTTAATTCTATTATTCTATTTAATTCATAAGGCTTATCCTGCAATCAGTGACCTCTCTATCCAGTCACTTATCCAGATCTTGTGTCCGTAAACGCTCTTGGTGCAATTGTGAATACCGTGCAGAACTGAGCCCCCGCAAGACAATGTAATGACTGTTTCTACTTCCAGTGCAGGTCTGTTAAATGGACAATGTGTCAGTGTTGCTCGCGGCCATGTGATGTCTGTAGTTCCCCCTGGATGTGAAATCTATAATGTTCACAAATGTCGGAAGTCACGGCAGGCGTGTGATTTTCACAGCATCTCTGAAAGGAATGCGACAGTGTGATTGTCATGAGCTCTTGTATTCCCAAGTGGATTTAATAGCCATGTTTTGCACGAGTAAACGAGTAAACTGGCAAACGGAAGACACAGATTAAGGAGGGAAAAGCATTTCATTCAGTTGTGTAATGCAAAATTTTATGAATACATGTGTCTGCAGGTGCTTAATGAGGCAGTGGGTGCCATGATGTACCACACCATCACCCTGACCAGAGAGGACCTGGAAAAGTTCAAAGCTCTACGCATCATCATCCGCATCGGCAGCGGCTACGACAACATTGACATAAAGGCTGCTGGAGAGCTGGGTATGAACTCTTTAAATAGCGGCTACTAAATCATCATCATTTTCTTCTTCACATCTGTGCTCGTGTAGCAGCCTCTTTTTCTACATCTGAGCAAAGCTCTAATGTGTTTTGTGCTCCTTTGATACGACTATCCCGCGTCGCATTGATTTCTTGTGAGGGAGTAGGTCTGCTGATTTGCTTGTTTGATCGTTTGTTTGCCTGTTAATGACAAACGATACCTCAGGTGCCTGTAATCAGATTTAGGTGAATCTTGAAGGGAAGATTCATCACATCACAGCGTTAAAATTGGACTGACCATCTAAAAGAAAAGCAGCGAGGAAATAGAGCTAATAGTCGTTGTCCCTAAAGCGGACTACTTTGAATACCACGTATACCGTTTCCTTGTTTTTACTGTATGGATTTTTTTTGAATAGTATCAAAGGCTGAATTAAATAGTCAGATGAAGTGCAGACATCCCACTGTGAGCCAGAATGTTCAAAGAGACAGAGTAAAAGACACACGGAGAAAGAGAAGAGTTCAGTTTTCTCCCTGAAACACCACCCAGGCTTATATCAGCAGGCTGGTGGCTCAAAAAGCTCTTACAGTTGACAAAGCTGCCATTTCCCTGCCAATATGAGATACTGTGTCTAACTGCCACCCACTCACCGAAGGCGCTCTGCCTTGCAACACAGGAGTCAAAAGCTATCGTGCCTGGAGAAGGCGGCGCTGATATGACGGCTGTTCTCGGGGAGAAGAAAAAAGGGGCCATTGATTGAGCAGGCTCGGTCTATTTTTTGCTGTCTAGAGACGACTGCGCTGTTACTCCGAGATACAGAGTGAGATGAGGACATTAGGAGGAGAATGAGGGCAGGCAGAAGTGCTTAAGTGTTAGAACAGAAAAAAAAAAGTAGTCTGTGTTGTTGGAGGAAACGGCAAGGTAATACCACAAGGTCAGGCCTTTATATCGGCCGAAAGGAACAAAATTATGAACACTGCACTGGATAAGATCTTGACTTTACATATTTACGTGTGTATCTTCATATTATTATCGATGTTTAGCAGGTGATATTTGGAATACTGATTACGTTGCTCAAATATAGACCTAATTAAAGATAACCCAAGTTATTAAGGGATCAGTTCACACCATTATCAATTTTTCATGTTTTTCCTCTGGCCTGTAATGCTTTGGAGATTTTCACTGTTGAAATATTTGCCTTTCTCTTGAAAACAGTGACCCAATTGGCAGTCGTGTAGATTTATATACATCCACAAACTTTATTGTGATCAGTTTCGTGTAGGAAGTATCTTTCTCTCTCTTTGTTTTATTAAACTATGCTCGCCAACTGTTTCAAGAAAAGGCCATCCGTCTACCTGTGATGAGAGGCTAATGCTAGTGACAGCTAGACAAGTGTTAACATTATATGAGCTGAGCTTCTGTGTGGTGGTTCCTACATAAAACTATAAAGTATGTGAATGAGAGCTTCAGAAACATTACCGCTAAGTAGCTTTTGGGTTTTTTAGTTTGGTTTTTTGTTGTTGACGCTTTGAGCATCACGAGAAAAGTTCCATTAAAATCTAGAGAAGGCAGTTATTTCTACAGAAGATATCACCCCTATATGGGTAAATATAATTAAATATACTTCCTTTGAAGTTTTTATAATATATGACTTGTGTCATAGTACATAATATCCATTCACGTATCCATCATCTTCTACTTGTCTAAAGTGAGGTTAGGGGTGGCAGCTGCCTAACAGAGTATTCTAGTCGTCCTTATCTCCAGCAACACGTTTCAGTTACTCCTGTGGGATCCTGAGATTCCCAGACTAGGCTAGATGTATAATCTCTCTAGCAGGTTCTGGATGTCCAAGGTCCTCACTCTATCTCCAAGACTGATCCCAGCCACCCTACAAAAGAAACTATTTTCATATGCTTTTATTCCTGACCTTACTCTTTTGGTCACGTCCCAGATCTCATGACCATAAGCGAGGGTTGGAATGTAGACTGACTGGTACATGAAAAACATCAATCCGGCACACCAAATCCGCCGGTCTGTTTCACCCTCGGCTGCAATGCGTGCTGGAGGTCACGCTCCAATGAAGCCGACATATTCTGATGTTCCCACAACAAACAGTCATTTTCACACTCCCTTGAGATGCTGACCATGAATATCAGAAATCATAGTGACCCATGTTGGTTTTAGCCCTGGACAATAAAATCTCTCTCTGTACTCATATTTCACGTGTCACATACGTCTTTAATGTGCTTTTCAACTCTTCTGCCTTGTCTTTGTTTACTGTTCTACCTTTAGGCATCGCCGTGTGCAACATTCCCTCGGCAGCTGTGGAGGAGACGGCAGACTCGACCTTGTGCCACATCCTCAACCTTTACCGGCGGAACACCTGGCTCTACCAGGCTCTGCGGGAGGGCACGCGAGTCCAGAGTGTGGAGCAAATCCGGGAGGTGGCGTCCGGTGCCGCCCGCATACGTGGCGAAACCCTGGGTCTCATCGGTTTTGGTGAATATTCAGTTATATGCTTTCCTCTTTTAGACTTTTTCTGGCTCCTTCTCTAGCTTTTTCCTCTTATTTTCATCATGTTTTTTTTTTTTAAATTTACTCCCCCTTCCGTTGCTTCCACTTTTGTGCTTTCATATCCTCTCACCACTCAGTGTGCCTTCTGTTTTCCTGCTCTGATAAGGTTATTTTTCACCCTCTGCCCGTCCCACAGATTATCTCAAGGTTGTCTGTTTCGCCTCCCTGCGGGCTGACTTCCTCTCTCTGCCTCACTGTTCTCATCCCACTGCTCTAATGCTCACCATTATATCTCTATTATTCTCTCTTCTTCTGTTTTCAACTCTTCTTCTCTGTCACCACGGTCCCTCGACATCTTGCCCTGCCATGATCAGGCCTCCTGGCAGACTAGATTCTTCCTCTGTGTGTGTGTGTGTGTGTGTGTGTGTTCTGACTTGATTCCCTCTCTGCACCTGTTTTAGTGGTGATTGTGTGTGTTTGTGCGTCACTCTGCCCTGTCACAACATCACCGGGCCGACAGATGCTCTGTCTTCTCACAAGCCTTTCCTGAGTGCCACCTTATCTCTCTGTCCACATACACCTCCCCCCCTCCCACACACACAAACACACAACCTCCTTCCTCCTCTACAGGTCCCAGACAGCTGCCTGGACTAACTGTGCCTGAACAGCGGGTCCTGGCAGGGAAGATTTCTCCCCCTGTCTCTCCCTTCCTCACCCAGTCCTCCCACTTCCAGCCTCCTCTGCTGGTCTTTCTGGCTCAAGCTGTCTCCAAAACAATATCCATTGTCAGTGGGAGGTTGGGGACATCGAAGGCCTCTTGGCGTTGGTTTCTAGGACTCTGCATATTCAGCCAGCTGCACAACTCTGTCGGCAAATACACAGACTGAAAAAAAAACCCTCTAGCTCTGGGGTGACAGTAGACTCGAGGACTTGAAGTACCAAACAACCAACCTTTTGATCTTCTTCTCAAAAATAAGTTCAAGCCTTTTAGTTGTGAATTATTCTGTTATTTCTCATATGTAAATGTAACCAAGTAGCTGTGGTCTGCCTATCTACCTCCAGTAAATATCCAGGATAATCCTATCAACTAAATTTGATCTGATCAAACTCATTTTCAACTTTGGAATTTGGGGAATATGTTAGTCTGGGAAGAGACATCTAAGATACCCTTAATGAGCATTTTTATATGAATGAAGGCTTAAATGATCATCAGGGTTCAGTGTGATAAGCTTGAAATGCCATTTTAGTTACTAAATGCAAAACAACATTTGTAACACATTATATTCCCCTAAAAATTATATTTTTAAATGTTGCATCTTACACTAAAAGTGATTGCAGACAAGTGTAATTACTTTCTCTTGAAACGTCTCAAAGCAAATTCAAAACAAAGAAAATTCCGCTTGCATATTTAGCATTTCCAGTTGGTCAAATCAAATTAGCCGTGCAAAGACAGTGTTGATACTGCAGCAGATGCAGATGAGGACCGATGAGAAAATGTTGGAATTCATTACCCAAGTCTAATCCTTCCCACATATTTCTGTAACATTAGCCGATTATGTGTCAAGGAAACATAAAAACCGAATATCCAACCGCCAAAGTTATGCTTCCATGTTTTAAGAGACACAATCGCAAGGTAAATAAGGACTTTTTGACAGCCTCTGGTAATTGCACATTTTTCTATGCTAACTGTACTCCCTTAAATTTTTAATTAACAGAATCCCATTACATCCATCTTGAAGTTGCTCACAGTGAAAAGTCTAATCACTCAAACCAGTTTATTTGAGTGATTAGGTTTAGTTCACTCTCACCACTATGATCAGTATCATCTCCACATGAAGCAGGCAGCTGTTTTCAGACGATTGTGCACTACCTGCCTGCACCGAATGGCACACAGACACAACTGACAAGTATTTGAAAGCTAAAGAGAACAAATAACAGTATTGCACGTTATTGGATTTTGCACTTGTTGCATCTCTTTGCAGCATATGGAAAATATCTCCAGTGATATTGTGATGTCGCCTGGTTCCTTTTGTAAAAACAGTAGAGATAATCTGCCTGCTGTGCACAGGGACTTTTGAAACAATGTTTTTTAAAAGAAAACGTTGACCTCTTGGCCAATTGCCACCATGTTTGCCTCTTCACTGTTGGGCGAGACAGGGCTGATTTCAAGAATTGGTGCTTCAGCCTCGCGTTTTACTGCGGAATATGAAACCTTTGTCAGCAGAAACATTTGCAATGCAAAGCAAACATCTGCTGCCGAGTCGAGAGTGAAATGACAGAGATCAAAATGTTCAGATCCACCTGAGTGGGTGGCAGACCCCCTGGTTTTTGCTGCATGTGGCATTGATAAGTGTGGGACGGGAGGGCGAGGCTTAGAAATAGAGAAGACAGAGAAGCTGAGATATTAAAGGAAAAATCTGCACAAAAAAATACTAATTCTTTTTTTCCAGTGCAACAAAGTTAGAGGTATTTTTAGATGCCAAAAACTTCAGCTGTTAACTGATCTCATCGTAAATCAAGATTGTGTAGATCTAGTTTCTCTTTAAACCCAGTTCTTTGCAGACATTTTCCAACAATCAGAGAGGCAGAAGAAATCATTGCAGAAGAAGTGACGATCCAACTTTCCACAGCTGCTCCAAAAGGTTTAGTAAATCGCATCGTACTGCAGCTGCAGGATGACCTGGTCTGTTTCAAACTGACAAGAAAAATCTTTTTAAAAAATTGATTCCTTTACTGCTGCTGTCTGCATCGCTTTTTTAGCTTGCACTTACAGCAGCTCACACCCACGCTCTGTGTTGTGTCAAACGTGGCCTGTGAAAATTAGGAAAAGTAACGTTAGCAGAAAGAAATGGACAGATGAATCACTCGAAGAAAAGTAAAGTGCGCAACTGTGATCATCGCAAAATTAGTCGTTTTATTGTGCGATAGCTGCAGCTATATCTGGGTCTTTAGCGTTGCACGTCTCTTATCGGCTGACATTGAAGGAGAAGAAGAGAAGGAGTGATTCTCTTCAGCTGTGGAGTGTAAGAGCAGGATATAATGCTCGATCACAAAGAGGGGACCTTGAGAGTGTAAAGGACCTTATCGATCCTTTTTACGAGCAGCAACATCCACCTCTCCATTACTCTGTCCCTCTCTCTCTCTCTCAGCTGCTGCTGCAGAGCAGAAACTGGCGTCTCCAGCCAACAGAGTGGAGACTCGCATCCTACACAACAAATGGCTGTGAGACACAGAGGGAGAGGCTCGAATGCTGCACATTCAGTTTCTGATTCACTGTCTCACAACTTCACCTCACATTGGGCCTCATTCACAAACAGTGCGTTTGCACAAACGTGTGCCTAATCAGCACAAACAAATGTTTTACTCACAAATCCGGGATCCATCCGTGTTTTCGTGCCTGAATTGGTTGGTGCACGGCAAACGAACATAGAGCTGCCTCAGACTTAGAAAATATAAACATACATGTTTTAACTAAATGCTTAGCAGGTTAAAACTGACTTAAAACACTTAAAAAACCTTTAATTTATTAAGGCAGTGGCCAAATACATAAAATAAACACAAATCCGTTGCCTTTCATCCTTGCTGGACGTCATCGCCGTCACCTCGCCACTGTTTCAACAATGTCCTACTTACGGATGTTTGTATAATCTGGTCGGTTATTCCTTTTTCCATAAACTTGTATCTTAAGCTTTGTCCTTATATCTAAGTCACGGTCTGTGCGTCAAGGATTCAGCATTTACCACTTCAGTGATTGCAACCCGAGTCTCTTGGTGTGTCTTTCCAGTTTCCACCTTAGACATTATTTCGGTTTCCTCAGTCCACAACTTTTTTTTTGCTTAAGTGACCTTTTTTCTCTTAGAACAGCTTCACAGCTTTCTCTGTGATCCACCTCTAGGCAAACACGTTTCCTTATATAAAGAAAAATGGGGCCACGGAAGTGTGCTGACTGCAAGTAACGTGCGTGCACCTGCTGATTTACAGTGATTCTCTAACGTGCACACGATAGTAAGAGCAAAATTGTCTGCTTTCGCACGATCCACACACCTGACTTTTGTGCGAGTGCTTATTTTGTGCACAAATTAAAAAGCACACACGGCGAATGAGGCCCTTTGTTTGTTTGTTCTTGTTGTTTTTTCATTTTTTCATCATAGCTCCTTGTCTTTATCTTAAGCCTTTTTTCCCTTAGTGATATTAAAAGTAGCCTTTTTCACATCTTTAATATAATAAAGCCGACATGAAAAGGCTGTTGCAACGTGAAAGATGTTCAAGTGACATCCTGTTACTATTAGAAGAATGAAAGGTTTATTTTTTGTGAAGGTTTTTTTTAGACATTGGCTTCTTTTTCGCTCATTTTCAGGTCAGAACTTGTACTTGATTATTTTCTCCTTTTTTTTTTATCGTTCAAGCATAAAAAAACACTCAACTCAGGGGATGAGCCAGTGCTCAATTTAGCAAAGAACTCATTTTAAATTGTATCTTTAGGCAGTTTGTCAATAGTATTCTGTCACAATAATAAAACCTATTTCCCCCTTTTTTTTGGATTGGCAAGGTGGTTTCTGAAGAGCTATAAGACAAAAACTTATATCTCTGCATTGTTTGCAGTGTGTCATCAAAGGGTTAGAGGGGTGGATGGCTGTGGCTTAGAAGGTTGTGGAGTTCACATACTAATTGGAAGATTCGTGGTTCAATCCCTGGTCCTCCTCTGCATGATGATATTGTGAGTGCAAGATACTGAACCCAATGAGTTCACTGAAGTGTGAATGTTAGATAGAAAACACTGCGGACGCAATTCTACAGTCCTACATCTTCTTAATGCATATCTACAAACTAGTAGATGGTCTAGTACGTCTTGATGCATGGTCAATAGGGCGCGACCTTGGCGCAGGAGGTTGGGAAGCGCATCTGTAACCCGAAGGTTGCCGGTTCGATCCCTGGGCTCTCTGTCCT